TACCTCTCTGACCTTATCTAAAATTTAACCTTACTCACTCCCTCGCAACACAGACCTCTGCGTGCTTATATGTCAAACATGCTCTGGCCTTAGGGCCTTTGCTCTAGCTGGCCCCACTGTCTGAAATATGCATCTACTTGATAAATTCCTACAACTCCTTCAAATCATTGTTCAAATGCTACTTTCTTAATGAGATGTATCTTTAATATTAACCTCTCTCCCTCATATGGCCTTACCTCTGCCTGCTTTCTCATTCCTTTTACTCTAATCTTTTTTCCATAGCACTTACCACATTCTAACATGTTAGACAGATTATATATTATGCTTATTATCTGTGTTCCTCTGATAGAATATAAGCTCCTAGAGAGAAGGGATATTTATTTACTGATGTAGCCCAAGTACCTAGAGGAGTGTCCAAGAAAGTTCTCAATAGAAACTGACAATAGGAAAGTGCAAAGTGACATAAAAAGGGAAAAATGACATATACTTTCATAGATTTTTTAAGAGAATATAACTGATGAATACCTAATTTAGTCATATTGATTTGTTTTAGGAGAAACTATAATTTTATTTTTCTGAATCTATTAATTAATCCATAGCAATATTGAGATATTAAATTTCTTTAACCACTTTTAAAATTGTGAAAAAGTAACCCCCCCCAAAAAAGAATCTAAAGGATACTAAACATTATTTACATTGTCCAAGTTTTATCAAACCAACAAATATTTGGGATGCTATATATTAGTTACCTATTGATGCACAACAGATAATCTCAAAACTTAGTCGCTTAAAAATTTAATAAACATTCATTATCTCACAGTGTCTGTAGTTTAGGAATTTGAGACTTGGATAGTTTTGGCTCAGGGTCTCTCATAACACTGGAGTCAAGATGCAGGCTCCCCAGGCTGCAGTTAACTGAAGGCGTGAAGCTGAAAACCCACCTCCAAAATGGCTTACTCAGTGGTTGGCAAGTTGATGCTGGTTGTTAGAAGGAAGCCTCACTTGCTTCCCAAGTGGACTCTCCAAAGAGCCTTAAATATCTTTACAACATGGTAGTTGGCTTACTCCGTGATGGGCAATCCAAGAGAGAGCAAGGTAGAAACAGCAATGTTTTTTAATGACTTAGCTCTGCAAGTCATATACTATCACTTCCCACATATTCTATTGGTCATACAGACTAATGTTAATGAAATGTATGAGAGGATAGGCATGAATACCAGGAGTTGAGAATCACTGGGGACCATCTTGGAAGCTACTGCAAGTTATAACCAGTATTTGCATAATATTTTGTGTTCAGCTTTTTTTCCCCCAAACACATTTCTTTTTTTTTTTTTTAATGTTTTTTTGTTTTTGTTTTTTTTTTCTAGGAGAGAGAGAGAGAGAGACAGCGTGAGCAGGGGAGGGTCAGAGAGAGAGGGAGTCACAGACTGAAACAGGCTCCAGGCTCTGAGCTGGCAGTCAGCACAGAGCCCGACGCGGGGCTTGAACCCATGAACTGCGAGATCATGACCTAAGTGAAAGTCGGACGCTTAACCGACTAAGCCACCCAGGTGCCCTTCCCCCAAACACATTTCTATTAACCGAGCTTACACACTTTAAAAAAAGTATTAATGTTTATTTTTGAGTGAGAGACAGAATTTGAGTGGGGGAGGGACAGAGAGAGAGGAAGACACAGAATCTGAAGCAGGCTCCAGGCTCCAATCCACAAACTACAAGATCGTAACCTGAGTCGAAGTTGGCTGCTTAAATGACTGAGCCACCCAGGTGCCCTGAGCTTATACACTTCTTATTTGGAAAGCTACATATTACTCTAATGATATTAACTCTTTTTAAACATTTTTAATAATGTTTACTTATTTTGAGAGATTAGAGAGAGTACATGAAAGGCAGAAAGAGAAGAGAGAGAATCCCAAGCAGGCTCCAGACTGACAGCACAGACCAATGCAGGGGCTCAATTTCATGAACCATGAGATCATGACCTGAGCCAAAATCAAGAGTAGGATGCTTGACCAACAGCCACCTAGGTGTTCTGCCTCATTTTTAATTTTATTTTTGAGAGAGACAGAATGTGAATGGAGGAGGAGGAGGGGCAGAGAGAGAAGGGGACAGAGGGTGTAAAGTGGGCTCTGCACTGACAGCAGTGAGCGTCATTCGGGGCGCAAACTCCCAAACCATGAGATCATGACCTGAGCTGAAGTTGGACGCTTACCTGACTGAGTCACCCAGGTTGCTCCATCATCATTTTTTTTTAATGTTTATTTCTGAGAGAGTGTGTATAAGTGGGGGAGGGGCAGAGACAGAGAGGGAGGGGGAAAATCCCAAGCAGGCTCCATGCTGTCAGCACAGAGCCCAACATGGGACTTGATTTCACAAACCATGAAATTATATCCTGAGCCAAAATCAAGAGTCAAACACTTAACTCACTGAGCCACCCAGGCATCCCTCAATGATATTAATTCTTAAAAATTAAAAACAATATGGACTTTTAAATTCTCTCAAAATATCATATCCCACCACTTGATGCTTTCCATGGTTTCTGTTATAATTCCAATATTTTACTTAAGGAAAAGCATTAAAGTAAAAAAAACACTACAACTCATACAAACATCCTGCTTGTTCCTAAGGTGAAAAGAATTTAAATACTTCAAAAAAGTAAAATGTATTTAGGAAAGAGTAGGAAAAAAGTAAACAAGTCATTATATTTGTTAAAATTACACGCTTCCAGGGGCGCCTGGGTGGCTTAGTCGGCTAAGCAACCGACTTTCACTTAGGTCATGATCTCGCGGTTCGTGGGTTCGAGCCCCACGTCGGGCTCTGTGCTGACTGCCAGCTCAGAGCCTGGAGCTTGTTTCAGTCTGTGACTCCCTCTCTCTCTGACCCTCACCTGCTCATGCTGTCTCTCTCTCTCTCCTAGAAATAAATAAAAAAACATTAAAAAAAAAATTACACGCTTCCATTAATAACTGAATACTAAACCTAACAGTGAAATGAAATACTAAATCAAGGAAAGTATAGAATGAAAATACATTAACTTATATTTTTTAAATATAAATATCTAAAAATATTTATAACAACTTTCTCATGCTATTTACGAAAGAAAATTTCTAATCAGACAATGGTAACATTAATACTTAGATACCAAAGAGATATTTGGTAAAAAGGGATAAGACTAATAACTGGCATAGATATGAAAACCACTGAAAAATTTTAGAACAAGCATTTTTCAAGCATCAACAAAATAAGAAAGGGCTATTAAATAATCAACTTGTATTAGATCACTGCCAAACAGCTATAGTAAGACCTGTATAATGTAATAATAAGCTATAATAAGAGCATGGAAACTACAAGAGGAGAGATCAAACAGGAGAAATTTTCCAACAGTAGGAGTTGTGCTGGCAGAGGAGAGGAGTCTTGCCCCACGGGCTCAGCTCAAATCTGACCACATTGTCCCCAGTGGATTCACAGATCAAAAGGGGAGTTGAATGAGATCTGCTAAGGTCTCTCCAACCCTAAGATCAAACACTCTCCATGAAGGAATTAGAACGGATACATTGGTAGTTACCAACAAGTATAAAATTCTTTCCTATAAACAGATCACTTCTCTATTTTATTCCATTTTAATAAAAACATCATTAGACAAGTGTCAAACAGGCCCACTCTATACAATGAAATCATTTGGGTGGTATACCAAAATGAGATCAAGCAGTGCCTGACTTCATTCTTCATTGTTTCAGGCTTGACTTAGCTACAATAATCACTGCATGGAGAAAGCTGTTGCTCTTGCTGCCTTTTTCTTTACAAGTCACAAGGTCTTTTCCGATCTGTTCATTAAAGTGAAAAACCTTTAGATAGGAAGATACTACCAGTCAGGAGAGGGTTAATATTGCCTCAATGAGCAAATATAATGAAAACCTAAGGTAATAACTATCTTTGCCTTTGAACTCCTATCCATTGTGGAAGGCACTTACGTGCAGAAGAATATCTGCAAGGATCAGTGCTCTTTGTCAGTGTTTACACTGAAATTTGTGGCAAAGGAAGTGAAAACCTATCTACTGCTTTAAATATGTTAAATCAAAATGAAAAAAATGAGAAAGACTGAAATATTACAAGGATACCTTATAATATAAAGCGAGAAATACAGCTTCCACATAAGTATATTTCTTCCAAAGATGTCTAAGATGCTTCCCCTTTAAAGAATGTATTTTTATTTTAGCAATGTTTGCTACTAATATTTTTCTAAAAATTTTTTATGTTTTAGAGAGAACAAGCATGAGCGGGGGTGGGGGAGGGGAGCAGAGAGACTCAGAAGCAGTTCTGAGCACTATCAGCATGAAGCCCCATCCCCATGTGGGGCCTGATCTCATGAACCATAAGACTGTGACTTGAGCTGAAATCAAGAGTCCACTGCTTAACCGACTGAGCCACAAAGGTGCCCTTGCTATAAATATTTCTCAAGTGACTTATGCTTTAGGGTCATGATTATGATCAGCAGTTATATTTTTCTGTAAACTTGGAAAGCCTCTAAGTGCTATAGTTTTTTAAAAATAGAACTTATTGTCAAATTGGTTTCCATACAACACCCAGTGCTCGTCCCAATATCTAGGTGCTTTAGTTCTGTAGGACTGTTTGTCTTTCTGCCACTAAATGGTCCCAGAATGCTATGCTTTTTGAGCTAACTTTCCTGGACATGATGCTATGTTATCACTGATTAGTGTTGTCATGGGCCTGATTCCTTCAATAAACTGGCATCATATAATATTTGAAAATCTTTAAAATCACTGGGCTATAAATCAGAGAGCCGTAATTATTAGACTTTTATGTCAACTGATGCAAATCAGGACCTCTCTTAAAGAATAAGGGTTGTAGACTTTGTGACACGCTTTTAGTGGGTCATAGATCCTTTTCCATTTACTGTAAGCTCTCAGCTAGGAATAGAAAGCAAAATGTGCAGAAATCTGACCTACGGAAAAGTGGGGTATTACTTTATATTGGTTACTTACCAATATTTTCTTCTTCTTCTAGGTATTCCCCTTTGTTTCCTTCAACTAATGTGCCATTTTTTCAACCTGTAGAAGATGGATGTGGATAATCGTAAGAACAAAGTTCTCTTTTCTCTCATCAGTATGCTTATTTTTGATGCAATTATCTCTTTCCACACTTGTTTCCAATCTGTTCAGTCTTTGGAAACCAGATCACCACACTTATCATCTGACTTATAGTCTAGTACCCTTGGGCTCTTTCTCCTCTTCCATACTTTCTTCTTATTCAAACTATAATCACAGTCACTTTATAAAGTCACTTGTTTATAAAATCATCAACAGCAAAGCGAGGCAAGTCACACTCCCTCTAAAAGCCAGTGTATATTTTTGTATAAATATATGTGTGTAAATATATGGGGGGCAGTGATGAAGGAGCTAATCCATAAACAAAGTAGATAAAATACAGCTTATGCACTTTGTTGAATCTTTTTTTGGCTGTCGAGAATTCAAGTAATAAGTTGTGTGGAGCGCCTTGGGGACTATGTTGGTTAAGCATCGACTCTTGGTTTTGGCTCAGGTTATGATCTCAGTTTCGTGGGTTCGAGCACTGCATTAGGCTCTGGGCTGGCAGTACAGAGCCTGCTTGAACTCTCTCCCTCTCTCTCTTTCTGCCCCTCCCCCACTTGCATTGTCCCTGTTTCTCTTAAGATAAATTAATATTTATATTATAAATAAATTATAAATAAAAAAATAAAGGTTAAAAAAATGAGTTGTGCATTCTACAGTGTGATCAAAAGCAGCCATTTACTATTATATGTATGAGCACATGGTTACAGGGACCAAGCCAATCCTAGTTCTAGGTACATATCCATAAGAATTGAAGATAGGGACTCAAATATTTCTAAACCAATGTTTACGAGAGCATTATTCACAACAACCAGGGGTGGAAACAACCCAAGTGTCCATCAATCAATATATATGTAAACAAAACATGATCATATATCCAATAAAATTTTATCTTTCTATAAGAAGGAATGAAGTTCTGGGGCACCTGGCTGGCTCTGTCAGAAAAGCATGAGACTCTTGATCTCGGGGTCATGAGTTTGAGCCCCACACTGAGTGTAGAGATTACTTAAATTAAACTTAAAAAAAGAATGAACTTCTGATACATGCTACAAATATGGACGAACCTTGAAAACATTAAGTGAAAGAAGCCAGATACAAAAAGACATATGATTCCAATTATATGAAATATCTAGACTAGGTAAATTCAGAGAAACAGAAAGTAGATTAGAGATTACCAGGAGTCGAGGAGAAGGGAGAATGGGAGTTACTGATTAAAAGGTCCAAAGTTTCTGTTTAGAGTGATGATAGAGTTTTGGAAATAGACAGTAGTGATGGTTATAAAACACTGTGAAGATAATTAATACCACTGAATTGCACACTTAGAATGGTTAAAATGGCAATTTTTATGTAATATATTTTACCACAATAAAAACTTTTATTTTTAAAATTTTATTAGTGTTTATTTTCAGAGAGAGAGAGCAAGAGAGAGAGATCACAAGTGCACGTGAGCAGGGGAGGAGCAGAGAGGAAGAGAGAGAATACCAAGCGGGTTCTGTACTCAATTCTCAGAGCTTGACATGGGGCTTGATTCCAGGACAGCAAGATCATGACCTGAGCCAATATCAAGAGTCAGACGCTTACCTACTGACCACCCAGATACCCCAATAAAAACTTTTTATAAAAAAGCATATGGGAGGTGTCTGGTGGCTCAGGGTGGTGAGTTCAAGACCCACATTGGGCACAGGTTACTTAAAAAAAAAAAAAAAAAAAAAAGGCAGATAGAACCAAATATAAGATCATAAGAAGAATCACACTGGCTACTATTTTAATGGAGCAATATTTATTACAATTCATTCTTGGGAGATCTCATGGGTATACAGCCAATTATGACTTAAACTCTTAAGGGTAGTACTGATACTCAGAATACATTTTTAAGCTTTGAATTTATACAGTATCTTCCATTCTTCCAGAAAGTGAAACTTACCTATGCAACATAAATCTGAAAAGTATACATTCAAGAGAGGATTCAAACAAGGTTAAAAATATAGGGCCGCCAAAGCAAACATTTTCAAGAAAGGTCTTCATGCATTTTGTTGACTATAACTTAAACTTCCCCCAATATGCTCTTGGATGGAATGAGTGATATCTACTTCTAAGCATGCAATCTTGGGGCACCTGGGTGGCTCAAGTCAGTTGAGCCTCTGACTTTGGCTCAGGACATGATCTCGCAATTCGTGGGTTCAAGCCCCACATCAGGTTCACTGCTGTCAGCCTGTCAGTGTAGAGCCTGCTTCAGATCCTCTGTCTCCCCCGCTCTGCCCCTTCCCGCCATGTGCTCTCACAAAAACACATATTTTTTAAAGAAGAATTTAAGTATGCAATCTTCACATTTCAATGAAGTTTTCCCTTTAAAAACACTTAATATTGGGGCACCTGGGTGGCTCAGTCCATTAAGCATCTGACTTCAGCTCAGGTCATGATCTCGAGGTTTGTGGGTTTGAGCCCTGCATCGGGCTCTGTGCTGATGGCTAGCTAAGAGCCTGGAGCCTGCTTCCGATTCTGTATCTCCCTCTCTCTCTGACCCTCCCCTGCTCACGCTGTCTGTCTCTCTCTCTCTCTCAGAAATACATAAAAAACATTTAAAAAAAAACCCACTTAATATTGTGTGTATGTCAATACACTAAACTCAAAACAAGAGACACTTCAAACTGGCATCTCCAAATGCCCCCTTTCCTTGGCACCCTTGCCCCATATACATAGAGAGGGTTAAATGGATTCTCTTATTTCCTTTTGTTAGTAGCATCACAAATTTCCTAATTCACAACTCAAAATCCTCATCATCTTTGAATTCTTCTCTCTCATACCTTCTATATTCCAATCTATCATGAAGAACTGGTGATTTTCCCTTTGCAACAACCTTCTCATCTCTTTTCTTTTCCTAGTCCTCCTGTTAATATCTAAATTCTGGCCTTTATTACTTCATATTTGGACTATGACAGCTTCTTAAGTCATCTTCCAATCACCAATGTCTCTGTTCTCAAATATATGCCAATGTTTTCCTAAAATGTTGTTTTCATCATCTTCCCACTAGATTTTAACCCACAGCATGTCAGGAATTCACTGATCTTTGAACACTATCCAACCTGGCATATATGTTTAATTAACCAATGTTTGTTGAATGAATTAATGAATACATAAATCACCTCACTCTCTTTTATTTTCAGAGAGAGTGCATGAGTAGGGAAGAGGATCAGAAAGAGAGAGAGAGAGAGAGAGAAGAGGAGAGGAGAGAGAGAAGCCCAACCTGGGACTCAATCCCATGACCCTGGGATCATGACCTGAGCCAAAATCAAGAGTCATGTACTCAATTGACTGAGTCACCCAGGCTCCCCTCCTCACTCTCTTTAAAACTTTCATCAATTTCCTACTGTGTATAACGGAAGGTACAACTCAAATATCTAAATACTTACTGGGGCCAAGCAGGAAATATAAGTGAGTAAAGTTATAAACCAACAGGAAGTGGTGGGGGACAATGACAAACTAGAGAGTACATATCTCACCTAAGCTGGCAGGTGCTTGCTGCTGCCACAAATTGCTGCCACAATTAAAGATAGGTCCAGTACTGCCAGGTCTTCTGATTTTTAAGATAAGCTGAAAGTACAGATTTTTTTTTTTTAATGTTTTTTATTTATCTGAGAGAGAGAGAAAGACAGCGTGAGCAGGGGAGGGGCAGAGAGAGAGGGAGACATAGAATCTGAAACAGGCTCCAGGCTCTGAGCTGGCTGTCAGCACAGAGCCCGATGTGGGGCTCGAACTCACATGATCATGACCTGAGCTGAAGTCGAACGTTTAACCGACTGAACCACCCAGGTGCCCCGAGAGTACAGGTTTCTTTGTAGAATTTGGTCTTTAAACAGTGACAACTAATTTCAATTAAATATTTAAAAAAACCTAAAAGCCACTGTGGAAACCAGGCAAAACATATCTATGAGCCAAATTCAGCCTTCAGGTTACAAGTTGGTGACTCTGCTCTGTAGGATAAAGGACAAACTCCCTACCTAACATTTGAAGTCTGTCACTGTGAATTCCCAGGCATCCTTACCAGTTTTTTGCCCACTATTTTCTTTCTTTTAAAAAAAATTTTTTTTTAATGTTTTATTTATTTCTGAGAGAGAGAGAGAGACACCATGAGCAGGGAAGGGTCAGAGAGGGAGGGAGACACAGAGTCTGAAACAGGCTCCAGGCTTTGAGCTAGCCATCAGCACAGAGCCCGACATGGGGCTCTTCTTTTCAGCCCACCAACCGTGTGATCATGACCTGACGTGAAGCCAGACGCTTAACTGACTGAGCCACCCAGGTGCCCCCGCCCACTATTTTCAAACAAGAACCCTCTGCTCTAGTCTAGTTTTCAAACTTTAGGCTGTATCAGAACCACCTGGAGGGCTTGTTAAAACACAGACTGGTGGGCCTCACTGCCCATTCTGATTCAACAGGTCTCAAGTGGGGCCTGAGAACTTCCATTTCTAATTTGTAACAAATTCCCAGGTGATGCTGATGCTACTCCTCCATGGACCACACTTTGGGAACCACTGTTCTAGTTAAATACATCCTTGTCTCTAATACACATTGAATTTTGCTCATATGATTGATTCTACCTTTCCAGAAAGCCTTCCCTCTTCTTTTCAGCCCACCTCCTTCTGCAAAGTTTCTCTGAATATAACAATCTTTCATACCACCAAATTCCTACAACACTTATTGCCCATGCCATGTCCCCCTTATCCATCATTGCTTGGGTTTTTTTTTTTTTTTTTTTTTTTTT